GTTCAGATAATGCTTATATTACTTAATAATGGCCTCAATGCAAGAGAGTGACAAAAAGAAGGGCCAAAAAACACAATATGAAAGGACTCACACTAGTACTGTGTGACAGTGCTACAGGTCATGTAAGAAAAATCACAGTGTATATAGGATAAAGGATCAGTGGTTTTAGGCATCGGCTTGGGTGAATGCATGTCCTAGAACATATCCCCTGGGAACAAGGGGGAATTTCTTTATGAGGGGCCTTTGTACTTTTGTAGACTCCTTGAGGGTTATGAGTACCATGCTTAATTTTCTTCCCTCCTTTGCTAAGGCAGTGTTCTTGTTTGTTTGTTTGTTTGTTTTTTAACCATTTAGGTAGTTTTACAAAGTATCATGTGGAAATCTATTGCCAGTTATTTAGTGTTTTCATCTCATAAAAATAGATCATCACAGTATAAAAAATGTGTATTATCTATTACTATATAACAAATTGCCCCAGAATTTAGCTTAAAACACAAATGTTTATTATGTTTCACTGTTTCTGAAGAACATTGATTGCACATAACTGGGTGGTTCTGTCTCGAGTCATTTGTTCCTAAATAAATTGTTAACTTGTTGCTTAGGGCTTCCTAGTGTTTTCAAGGTTTAACTAAATTTGCCGAGTCACAGCAGCTAATCATTGCAGAACCCTTTTCTTTTGTTATCCAGTCTTCAGCTCACTGCTAGTCATTTCTTTTCTTCTTGCCAGTAGCAGTACTTCCTCATTCTGTTCTGCCTCATTTTTCTTTGCATAATCCCAGGAATCATAAATCCTGCCAAAGCCAGTATTTTGCCACCTCCAAAATGGGTTCTGAATTCAGATAAAAACTTAGCATGTGGCCTAATTGTATACATTTTGGCTAAGTTTACTTAGTTCTTATTTTAAGTGGACACATACACAAAGACATGCTGATTCAGTTGTTAGTAGGCTTCTGTGCTTGGCTGGATGTCTTCCAAAGGGACAAGCCTTTCCATGGATTTCCTTAATCGTTGTCATGTCATGGCAGCTAGCTTCTGTCGGAGTGGATAAGCCAAAACAGAGAAGGGACAGAAAGAAGGGGCCTCAAATGGAAGCTTTGGTCTTTTACAATTTTATCTAACAAGCAACATACTGTCACTTTTTTTTATTTTGAAGAGAATAAAACAAAGAAATAAAACAATAGAGACAAAACAAAACAATAAAGTGATATAAGACTTTAAAATAAGATAAAAGGAAACAAGAATGGCTACAATCAAAACAAATAAACATGATATAAGACTTCAAAATAAGATAAAAGAAACCAACAATGGCTACAGTGTGCCCCTTGCTATCTTCAAAATAACTTCCATACCATCAGGCACAATAAAATCAAATAAAACAACAGAATAAAACTAATCAAAACAAAACAATGAAAGCAATACAGGACTTCAAAACAAGACAATGGGAATATAACAGTGGCTACCGTAATGTATCTTGTTATCTTCAAAGTAGCTGCTTATACCATCAGACATGATAAAATCAAACAAAATAGAATAAAATCAATCAAAAGAAAACAAAGCAATACAGGAACTTGAAACAAGATAATTGGAAATCAATAATGTCTACTATAATACATTTTGTTATTTTTGAAATAGCTGTCCATGCCATCAAATATGATAAAATCAAACAAAACAACAATAAAACCAAGCTAAACAGAACAATGAAGACAATACAGGGTTTCAAAACAGGATTTAGATTAACAAGGGCCACTTCCTTTCCCCTCTAGATATTTCCTCCCCTTTCACCTTCACAACATCTATTGTGCATTTTGGATTCCACTGTCTCCTTTAGTGTTTTTATACTAGGGAAATAACACAGTGTTCACCCACGTGACTCTGGACCATTTCACCCATGAGCAGTATCTCAAGTTGTATCCATTTACCTACAAGAGGCTCAAGGTTCTCTTTCTTTATAACTGAGTAGCTTTGCATTGTATAGAAATGCCATATCTTTCTTATTCTGCAGTTGATGGGCAAGCTACGTGTACTTTTCTTCTGATTCCCTGTCACATAGTGCATTATTTTGTCTCCTTTGACTTTTAGTCTGTGAATTTCCTTTTGAGTTACATGTGTTTCTTGAATAAAGCACATTGATGGATCTTGTCTTCTGATAGACTCACCTGTGTTTCTTTTTATTGGTGAACTGAGGCCATCTACATTAATGGTTATGGCCAACATGCACTGGCTTGTCGCTGCCATGCTATTTTTTTTTGCTGCCATGCTATTTTTATTGCTGTTGGCTGTCTACTTTTCCCCTCCGATTCAGTTGTCTGCCTCACTTGGTGATCTCCTTCATGCTGCTGTTCCTGGAACCATGGTTTTGTTTTTTTTTTTTTCTTTTTCTTTTTGTTTTTTAAAAATCTCTCTCTAGTACGTCCTTCAGTATTCTTTGTGGAGTTGGTTTGGTGGTCATGAATTCCTTCAGTTGTTCTTTGTCATGGAAGTATCTTGTTTCTCCATTAATTTTGAAAGATGGTTTTGTAGAGTATGTCAATCTGGGTTGGAAATTGTTGTCTTTCAGGAGTTGAAATACTTTACTCCAAGCTCTTCTTGATTTGATGGTTTGTGTTGAGAAGTTTGTTGTGGTTCTGATCGATTTTCCTTTATAGGTGATGTGTTTCTTTTCTCTAACAGCTTTTAATATTCTGTTCTTGTGTGCTGAATTTCTGGGATCTTGATTATTATATGTCTGGGTGTAGATCTATTTTGGTTATAGCTGGTTAGAGTTCTGTGTGCCTCATTTATCTGAATATCATTTCTTTTTTCTAATGCTTGGAAAATATTCTTCAATTATTTCTGTAAACAGCTTTTGTATTTCATTTATGTTTATCCCTGCTTCTTTCACATTTTTTATTCTTAAGTTATCGATCCTCTTGTCATCTTCTAAGTCTTTGTATTGTTACTTCCTGGTTCCTTGTTATTTTTAAGAGATCTTTTCTCTCGCAATCGCAAGCTGCAATCCTGCCTTCAAGGTTTGATAGTCTATCTTTAGTTTCTTTCAAGTGGTTTTGCCAGCTTTCAATGGAGATTTTAATTTCTTAGATATTTCTTTGAATTTGTTTCATGTATTCTAAATTTCTCTTGTATTGTTCATTCATGATTTCCCTCATTTTCCTATGCACCTCTATTTTTTTAATGTGTCTTTAGAGATGCTTGTAATTCTTTTATTATGCTTTTTCATTTCTTCTTTTACCTGAGATTGTGTTTCTGTTCTGCTTTCTTTTGTAACTTCATGAAGTTGTCTCTTTACTTCAGTTGCCATCACATCATAAACTTCAGGTTATACGACTCCAATCTCTTCCATGTTTTCATCTCCTGAACTTGCTGTGATTGAGTTGGAGTCCAGGGACTGCCTTTTGCTTCTTCATCTTGACAGTTTCTTGAGTTCTTCCAAACAAGCAGGTAGTGGGGTACCAAGCACTTCCCACAATAGTTACAATTACTCCAGAGCATGACTGGTTCTCTTGGGTTCTCCTGGCCAGTCCTGGCCAGTACTGGCTATGGATATCCAGTGGTGGCCACTTGGATGCAGTGGTACAGGGCTAGCTACTGCCTCCCTGGTGAGCTGGTTTCCTGTGGGCAATGTTTCCTAATGGCTGCTGGAGTGTGCAGAGCATGGGGTCAGGGCTAGCTGCTGCCTGCCTCCTGAGCTGGTTACCTCCATACTGTCAAGTCTGTCATATATCCTTGGGTACAGAGACTAACATTGGTTACATTGGTTAGAGAGTGCTACACAAAGATCTGAGTAAGAAATCACTGGTGACCCCCATGCAAACTTGACATCCCAAAAGAGCAATACTATTTCCAAGTGAAGAACTAATTTTTATATTAAAGTATCAATTTATATTCAGCAACAATGTATTTTTGTTTAAAGTACGAATAATATTTGAATATTCCGCTATGTTTTATGGAGGAAGAAATATTTTGTTATATTTACATTTGAGAGATAACCTTGAAAGTTTGTGATTAGGATTATTTCTTGAATTTCTTTTAATTCAATAGCATTTTATGTCTTACTAATACATGGCTTAAAGAATTTTTTTCATAAACTGCAAGAGTAAATAAGGACCAAAATATACAGTAAATATTGCAAAATGGGAAGAAAATGTTCAAAAGCAAAGAAGAGCTAGGGTAGAGAAAGAGGGTAAGGAAGGAAGGGAAAAGAAAAAAATGATTATAAAAAAGGATAAAATGGAAACAAAGCTTTATAAATAGGGAGGGGAAGATGAGTTAAAAGGTGGAGAAGGGATTGTTAAAAAAAGAGAAATCAAAATATATTGTGTATGTGTATAAATTCTCTATGATGAATATGATCATTATGTATATCTAAAATGTACTAATAAACATAATAAAAAAGAATTATTTGCATAATAATTTTAAAGGGAGATATGTAGCTGAATTTTTTTGTCAAATATTTATGTGAAGGTAAGGTTTGTTTTGTTTTACTTCCCAGACAAATTATTGAATAGAGAAGATTCCTTCCACTGTTAAATAGTAGGGGAGGAATAGCAATTTATATTCGTATAATGCTGTTACCTTTGTAAAAGAAAAACATGCTTTCCCTTCATGCATGGAAGTAGATAAAATTTTTTGGAATTGATAGTTACTTAGGAGGTATTCTTTAACAGTTTTCAATCTTTTAAGGGTTTCATGGACCCCTGCACCTTTGAAATTGATGAAAGCAATGATTTCTCTAGAGAAATGTGCTCATGTACAACAGCGACAGTTCTGCAATTCAGGAGACCCTCCAGAAGGTCCATGGATTTTAGGTTGAGAACTCCTTTTTTTAAGCTCAGTCTTATAATATTCTCTGATAGAAAGTAGTGCTTTTAAAATTTCATTATATAAAGGGAAACGGTATACCTAACTTTAATTGGAAATATATATTTATTTTCATATTATATGGCTTCTAATGAACCTGTTCTAATGATGGTTTTTGTTTCTGACTTTTGCTTCTATTTTAGCATCTGGAGCATAAGAACAGTGCTTATTTTCTTCTTTTCCAAGAGAACAGAAAGAAATAGTAAGTTTAAGTTCCAAATTTTTATAAATGTATTTTAAAGTATTTTAAATATGCTTGTTTATAAGGCAGATTGTGAAATGGTATATTGTAATAACTATACTAAATATTGAAACATGGTTCACTACGCCTGTGTTAAAAAATGTAAAGGAAAAGGAAGTTTTCTTACTTATATACATTAACTATATAATGTGATTTATATGCGATCCAAGGTGATTCTTCTTTACTCAGTGTAGCCCAGGCAAGCCAAGAGTGTAAGAAAGATTATGATTGATTAAAATAGTTACATATTTGTGTTTTTTTTTTTTTTTTTTTTTTTTTTTTTATCTTTTTCGTTTTTATCGGTACCAGGGATCGAACTCACGACTGCCTGCTAGCAAGGCAGGCGCTTATGCCGCTGAGCTAAATCCCCAGCCCCTTGTGTTTTTTTTCTTAGTAAGTTTTTTTTTTTTTTTTAAAGGCAAGGTCTTCTTATGCAGTCCAGCCTTGCCTGGACTCACTCTGTAACCCAGGCTGGCCTCAGACTTGCTTGCGATCCATTTGCTTCATCCTCTAGAGCACTAGGAATTACAAGTGTGGGCCACTATGCCTGGCTATTAATTCTTTTTTAAAAACAAGACATTTTAAAAAAAATAAAGCTATTTTTATTTATTTCTTTGTTTTTGCAGTGCTGGGGATAAATTCAGACAAATTTTATTAGATCTTTGTAGAAAACATACTATGCCGAGTAAAATACAGCACACATAATTTGACTTATTCTATTAATTGTACCAGTCTTTTTATTTTTAATTTTATTTAGAGAAAGATTAAACAAAACAGAAAGTGGGTAGAAATAATACTTATGTTCAGAGAAAAAAATAAACAGTAAGAAATCACTAGATAATGGTTACATACTTACAAGTAGTTGTTCAAGATATAAAAGTGGAACATATAAAGTGGGAATTCAAACAGCGAGACTGCAACAGTTCTGTTCAACTATCTAACAAAAACTTAGTAATATGGTTGTCAGTCCTATACACTTAAACATACGTGCAGTTATCCATATCTTCATTTATGTTGGGATTAAACAAACTAAAGCAGGCTAAAGTCATTCTGAACAAAGAATAATAGTATTGCTGGATTTCACATCATGACATTCCAGGATCAGCACTGGGTACTGTAGTGTCTTTTTTTTTTTTTTTTTTTTAATTTTATTTAAAGAAAGACTAAACAAAACAGAAAATGGGTAGAAATAATACATACTTTCAAAGAAAAAAAATAAACAGTAAGAAATCACTAGTTGATGATTACAGATTGTCCTCTTACAAATAGTTATTCAGGATACTAAAGCGGAGCATATAAAGTGGGGATTCAAACAGTGAGACTGCAACCAGTTCTGTTCAACTATCCAACAAAAACTTAAAAATATGGTTATCAATCCTGTACACTTAAACATAAATGCAGTTACCCATATCTTTAATTATGTTGAGATTGAACAAACCCAAGCAGGCTAATACCACTCTGAACAAAGAATATTGCTGGGTTTCACATTATGACACTCCAGGTACTTTAGTGTCTCTTTTTCTTCAAAGTATCTGTTCATTTCATCAAGTGTTATAAGATCAGCTCTCATAAACTGTGTATAGATCCTATACATGCATGAGTCTTAACATGTATTTCTATCCTTTCTATATTAAAGGGAGAAACAAAATAAGCAAGACAAAACAAAACATATTCCTATAAACACATGAAATGAAAAAGACATAAGACCGTTGTATAAGGAGTTCTACCATGTTTCCTGTGTTGTCTCTTGTTATCTTCAATAGAATTGGCTATATCATCAGACACAGTATAATTGAATATACCAGTACATAACAGTATTAACAAGAACAGAACTTTGTATATAGTATAAAACTTCAAAAGCAGGCAGTTATCAAACCTGAGTGTGTATTGTAGAGTCTTGTCATCTTTAGTGTAGTTGCCTATATCTCAGACTTGAAACTATCAATCACATCAGTTTTGAATAAAATCTGTTGATACCAAACAGCAATCAAACAAACCAGATTTAACTAAGTTCAGTCATGATAAAGCAGTATAAGTCATACAGGGCTCCAGATTAAGATAATAGGAAATTAAAAATGATTACTGTGCTATATCCTGATGTTTTTGGGATGGGTGTCTGTGCCCTCAAATCTAATGCACGTAGACAAACTGGGACAGAATAAAATCTATCAAAAAAAAAAAAAAGAGTAAAATCTATCTAAGCAGAGTGGTGCGAGTAATGTGGGTTTTAAATCCTGATAAACTATTAACAATATCTTCTGCCATCCTTTTAAAGACTCTCCCTCCCCTTTCACTTCCCCAGGGTGCATTGTGCATTTTTGGGTCTGACCAAGATCCTTAGTTTTAAATGGGGCGGGGCAACCTGCTATTTACCTAAGTGGTTCCAAACCTTCTCTCTCCTGGACTTGATCTCTAATTGTATTCCTTTACCTATTAAAGCCTGTCTTTCCAACCTATCCACAAATACTGGTCTAGTTGCCCCTATTACTCTCTGGTTCTCTTGTCACTTAGAGCATTGTTTTCTCATATTTGATTTTCAGTCCATGTACTCTTTTTCATGTTTTAATTATATTTCCTATAAATAGCATCTCGGTGGACCCTACCTCCTGATCTACTCCACGTGTGGTTCTTTTTTTTGTTTGTTTGTTTTTAAATTTAGTGTATCAAGGCCATCTGTATTAGAGATTATAACCAACCCTCTCTGCCTTGTTTCTGTTATACTCTTTTTTTGCCATCAGTTGTCTGCTTATCTTCTTCATTCTGTTTTCTGCTCCATTCATTGAGGCTTCTCTGCCACTGTTTCTGGAATCCTAGTACTTTTCTCTTCTCTCTCTCTAGAATGTCCTGCAGTATTCTCTGTAGAGTTGGATTGGTGGTTGTGAATTTCCCAAGTTCCTCTTTGTCTTGGAAGCATCTTGTTTCTCTGTTAATTTCTAGAGACAGTTTAGCAGTGTATATCCATCTGGACTGGAGGTTGTTTTCTTGCAGGGCTTGGAATATTTCGCTTTAGGCTCTTCTTGACTTGATGGTTTGTGTCGAGAAGTCTGCCGTTATTCTGATGGGCCTTCCTTTATAGGTTATCTGTTTCTTGTCTCTAACAGCTTTTAATATTCTGTTCTTATATTGAATTTCTGGGATCTTGATTATTTTATGCCTGGGTGTAGCTCTGTTTTGGTTGTAGGTGGCTGAAGTTCTGTATGCCTCATACATCAGAATATCATTTCCTTTTCCTATGTTTGGGAAGTTTTCCTTAATTATTTTTGTGACTACCCTTTGTATTTACCTTTGCTTCTTCATTCACATTCTTTATTCTCAAGTTGTAAATCCTCTTGTTGTCTTCTAGCCTTTGTATTGTTACTGCTTGTTTCCTTGTTATTTTTAAAAAGTTTTACCTTTGATAATCCCACATTGTAAAACTGTCCTCCAGTTTGGGTAATCTATCCTTAGTTTCTTTCAAGCAGATTTGCCATCTTTCCATAGAATTTTTAATTTCCTGGTAATCTCTTTGAATCTGCTTCATGTATTCTATATTTTGTTTATATTCTTCATCAAATGGTTCTCTCCTTTGTTTGAGTTCCTCCCTTTCTCCATCTGTGTCATCTTTAGGGTGCTTAGCATCTCTTTTATTAATCTTCTTATATCTTGCTTTACTTGGCTAAATATTTTCCTTTTGAATTTGTCTATGAGGTCTTGAAGATATCTCTTTATGTCCACTCATGCTATGTCTGATATTGCATGTTTGCTGTTCTGATTCTCCTTTGTATTTACCTGTCTTGGGTCAGTGTTCTTAGGGTTGGGACCTGGGGACTTTCTGTTGTTGCTTCCTCTTCCCATCTTTTTTTTTTTTTTTTTTTCTTCCAGGAGGCCCCAGTTTCTTTCTTTCTTTGTTACAATTCTTCTGAAGCATGTTGGCTAGGTGGTCCTTCCCACTGCAGTGTGCTAATGATTGCAGACAGGGGCAGCATCTGCTCCCCTCTCCCCTCTGGATCAGTCAAACTGCTGCTGACCTTAATTTCTTCTTGGGGCGAGAGAATTCATCTCCCTCTGTTCGGGGCTTCCCACACTGTATTATGTTGAATTCTCAGTTGACTATCTCAGGGAGCCTCTGTAGCCAGCTGTTACCTATCTGCCATCTTTGCTCCGCCCCCTACCAGTTTTTTTAACCTTATTGGCCCTTTGTCTTTTGTTTCAATTGAAATATGCAAATTATGACAAAGTTTGAGTAGGTATTTATCCTATATATATGCAAGTTTAAATGATTTTTTAGATGTTTAAAATATGTATTATATAACTAGAGATGTACATGTTTTATTTTAAATGAACTTCCCATATGATCTTTTTCTTGTTTCAATTTTTCAGTGTTTAAAAATAGACTAAATTGTATGAGTTCACATAAATCTGTCACCCAGTTACTTACGCATAGCCAAATTTGTTTCATTTTTATCTTCATCTACTTCCTCACTGTCTGCATTGTTTTGTATGTTAGATAAATTTATCCACAACAGACTATTTAGAAATATATACACAATGTGCTGTTGTACTTAGAAAACAATTCTTAATATAATAAAATATTAAATTTCCAATTTCCTGCTAAGTGTCATTTGCTTATTAAATGGTTCTTTGATTCAGGATTCAAATAAGTATATGTTTGTACAAATATATGACTTTCAAACTGTCCTCGTCCCTCATGACCTTTCTTTAGCCATATTAGGGTCTGTGGGATAGCTCAGATAGCCATTTCTTTGCATGTACCCTTAATTCTTTTATCTGCTTTTCCCATCCTATGTATCTGACCAACTCTACCCTATTTTAAAACATTCATTTTTTTTTTTTTTTTTTTGTCTTTTTCTTTTTTAATCGGTACTGGGGATTGAACTCAGGACTGCCTGCTTGCAAGGCAGGCGCTTATGCCGCTGAGCTAAATCCCCAGCCCCGACTCTACCCTATTTTAAATATATGCC